TGTCAATTTCGTTTAAGGTGACTTGCTTATGCAACTAGTGACATGTTGTTTAACATCCATGTCAAATGACACGTCACACAAACACATCAATTCGCACTTCACAGTTGAGCTGATGTAAGTCTGTATTGTCGTGTCTGTATTGTCGTATCTGCCGTTAACATCGGCAATGAGTTGCTGCCACCGGATTGCTTGCGAATTCACACATCCGTGCTTCGAGTCCTGCCGGGAGTGTGGATGAGGCCTGGGTCTTGACAAACTTGCCGTTGTTCGAAAATGGAGAAGTATGCCTTCCTGGAATGACTTCAAGTCCCTGGACTATGACTACCGTCTGGGCCAATGCCGCAGGGGATGGCGCCGAGGAGATGGGGCGTGGCTGAAAGAAGGCAGATCAACCAAGAGAGAGAGAGAGAGAGAGAGCAGTACGAAAGGGACTGCTCGGAATCATGTTAAGAAGACGACTTTCCACTTCACAGACGAGGTTCAGCCAACTCTACACGGGGCAAAAGAGACTGCCACCAGCTCAGAGGTCACACCGTCTTGGCTTTCTCACCGTCCATGCGCAAAGGTCTAAAGATTTCGTGTCTACGGTGGCGGCACAAGGAATGCCAAACTATGCACTGATTATAACCGATACAGCAATACAATCGCAAGCCAATCTCTCAACTTGACCTTTTAAAGCCTTTGCAATCGTTATGGTATTTATGCTGGGTGCTACCAAGTGACGAGGCTTTGCCATTCCAACAATCTTTACCAAATACCATACTATGCCCCCATCGGTAAATTATGGCAGGCATATGAACGGGAAGGGAATAGGTTGGTCAAGTTTATGGCGAGGAAGTTGAAATGGATATTTTCAAAAACAACATGCAAAAGCGTCTCAGACTTGATGCTAACGAGGCGGCTTAGAAAAGTTACGCAAATTGGATGAGTCGAAGAGAACGCTGAGCCAAGACGAACCGACACAAAATGTGAACTTTCTAAATTGACACAATCCACAGATCTGATAAAGAATAGGCAGCAAGTTGTGAATCTCTCCTTAATCTTTTGCCATTGCTAAATCTTAGCAATGCCAATGGAAGAA